TGGCCGAGCCTTCAACATGTGAGCTGGTAAGAACAGTTTGTATTTAAGTCATGATCCTAGACTGGTTCAACTCCTGATGTAGATGAACACAAGCTATGCTGTGACTTAGGAATAACAGACAGCTGTCATTCTTCTTCATGATGAGAGAAAAATTGGTGAATTTCAGGCGATCCTTCCTAGGGAGAGATTTTCAGAGGATGATGGTACATAACAGGAGCTGTGTTGCTTGGGCTGGGGATGACTCAGTCACTGTACATCCACATAGGTGCACTGAGCACGCACTGCCTGCAGTAAGTACTTCATCGTCCTTGAGGTCATTTCTTGTCTTTGACGACAAGGTTCTAACTTAGAGGCTTCAAGGATCTCCTAAAAACTGTTGGCCTATCCTTCTTACAGTCTGGTGCATTATAAAGCCAACTTGCAGATGCAGTTTGCTCTCAGCCTTGAGTCTATAGCATTGATTTGCTGACCATTGTACGTATGTCTGACTCTCACATTCAAGCTGGGACTTCCGTTCATCATCTCAAGTGCAGGTGGGCATGAAAGATCCCATTGCTTCTGTATATTATCAAAGTGACTCATCACCTCAGGGGGCAGCACTGGGTTTTCATCTCACATCGGGTCCAAAAAGGACCAATTAGAAACGGGCTAACAAGAGATCCTTCAGGGTTTCCACCCAAGTACACTGTGGTTGCTTGTTTCTCATTAGACCTGCACATGAGAGCTTTTCAGTGACTAGCTCTCCAGACAAGGTTGCTGTGAAGGCTACCCAGTGCTGCCAGAAAAATGGAGTCAATGTTCTTCTTGCCATGGTTCAGATACCAGTCGTTAAACAGAAATACTGTGACATCTGCTTCCTCTTTACCACAAACATGCAGGTCTAGCAAACAGAGAACTCTGGATGACCATGCTGTGCCTTATCTGTTGTTTATGAAACTGAACATATTGCAATTATGGATCAACTAATGAGTCAAATCAGAGGAGGCACATAGAACCTACAATGTGAATGGCAGTGGTTACGTTTCCTTTGCTTTTTACAAGTTGCTATCATGTTCTTTATCCATCACTTACAAGCCCATCATTTGTATCCCAAATTTCTCACATCTGCCAACTCTTGCACTGGACCTGAAGTGCACACTAGGAAGTAGCTTTGTACCACAGTATTGTTCGCTTAGCCAACTGGCTCTTTGGGGGATGAAGAATGCATTTTAAGTAAGCTTTAACAGCACCCAAAAGTGAAATATCATTGACTGTGCATAAAAACAGCTACAAGAACATCAATGGTGGAAACAAAATCTTGTGGATGAGTGACCCTGAGCAGGAGGAGGCCACCATGTCTGCACATGTGTCCCCAGCTCATAGTAGACGGAGCCTCAGCAGGACAGCTCTGGATTTTTATGGAGTGACGCTCATGGAGTAAAGTGTGGACAAGAGTCAGGGGTTAGGTAGGATGGATGCATTCCTGTGTGAGGGCGGGCACTTCATAGATGTACCTAGACTGGGGAAATCCTCTGGCCAGATGGGCAGCCTGCCTGTGCTGCACAACCACAAACACACTGGAAAAGCAACAGCAGGGCTGCATCATTCGGACACTAGCATCTCACATCCAGCTGAAAATGGCAAGTCCAGGGGGTGAGGGCCAGCAAGATAGCTCAGTGGGTAAGACACGTGCTGTGCAACTCTGAGATTGATCCCCAGAACCCGTGTAAAGGTGGTAAGAGAGAACTGGTCCCACAAATATGTCCTCTGGCCTCCACACGTGAGTCACAGCGAATGCATACCCCCACATCACATACATACAGATGAATGTTTTAAAAAGCAGAGGATGGTCTTTTACGTTGGTCTCGGGTTCTCTTGGCTGTCTCTCTCCACTCCCACAGCTTTTTCAGAAGTCCTGCATGTATGCACTGTCAGTGATAGGAATGTACAAGGCTCATCTTCATCCCTCAGGCCCCAGTATACCTCTACTTCAGAGACCTCACTGAGCCTTTTCCCTGCACTGATCATTGGTTTTCCTGTTCTTCTCTGCTCCCATGAAACTGGGTGTGTGCCATTCTGATGACATACACACACTGAACCCCTAGGATGGGACATGAGGCTTAACAGAGAGGAGGATCCACACACACCTGTCAACATCCCCGTGCCTTTAATTTGGTAATACAATGTGTTTCACAAACCCTACATGCTGAACACTGTCTCATTTGTGAAATGTGAGGCAAAGCCTTCCACGTATTTCCACCCTTAGAGAATGGCTGTGCTAGCATGAGAAGACATAGACCTGAATAGACTTAGTGGTACATGAGTGAAGACAGGACAGGCACAAGACTGAAAGACTGAAGCGAATGTCTGTGGTTGCTTCTCAATGGGGAGAGGCATAAATGATTCTGACTTTCGCTTTAAAAATCTTTTTGTATACCTTTTATTATTAATTTTCTTCTTTGACAACTTCAGATGTGTCTATAACACAGTTTCCCTCACTCTCCATTCTTTCCTATCTTCCTCCTCTGCTGTCAACGATCCTTCTCTTTGCAAGTCTCTTCATATTCATGTCTTTGTGGTCTGTCTTGTGATGCAGAGTTTAAGCAGGACCATTTGTGTGACCATGGATTTGGAGCTTAGGCTCACCTTTGGGTATGATTAAAAACAGTGACTGCCCAGACCTACCAGTAGGCAATAGTTCAGCAGGATGGAGTATGGCCCTTTAAATCCCTTTCTTGATCCATGCTTGGCTGATGGCAGGCCCAGTCTAGTGCAGGCTCAGTGCAGGATCCATAGCTGCTGAGATCATGGCTGCGATGGGAGGTCATACCTGGAACACAGCATCTCACAGCCCTTCTCCCCACCATCCAGTTTTTACCTCCTTTCTGTTCTCTCTTCCACAACGTCCCTTGAGTCATAGAAGTCACAGAGAAAGGGCTTTAAGTTTCTGGTTTGGACTTCTAAGGTTACTAGGAATTTGCCAGATTTGATTAAGGGCCATTCCAGGCAGAGTTTAGAACAGAATATAAAACTGCATAGACTTTCCCCCTACACCTACCTACAGCTTCACCACTTTCTTTTCCAAACTGATGGACATGGATTTTTCGCTCAAAATGTTTACTAAATATTTTTTGTGAATGTTTTTGAAAAGCAAAATTTCCATCTGGGCAGAAAAAATACCAAACAAGATATCCACATTTTTAAAAGGTCCTGAAGAAAGTCAGAGTACGAACAAAAGCAATAGCATGTCAATAAGCAGTGCAACTTGTACTGTGCTGGTGTGGAGAGCAGAGCGCATGCTGGAGAGGAAGGCATTGGAAGGCGATGGGCACAGGGTTAGCGAAGGCCCTACAGACTGACAGTGGAGCTGGTAGATGGAAAGGATTTCACCTCCCAGCGATCACTCAGAAAAGCATTCCAAGCAGAGAGAGGGGCTGGTGAGAGGCTGAGGAGGTGTAGAGGCTGTGTCCAGAACAAGAGCGGCAAGTGGCTGGATGGAAGAGGGCACAAAGTGGACACATTTACTGAGTGACATCCCAGAACCATTTTCCTGAAACACTTAGGAATTTGGACTGTAACTCAGACCAAGAGGAGACTCTTTTGTCTCCTGTTACTCTTCTTAAAGCACAACACTGTCACCCGGGAAAAGAAATCTTGATTTGTCCCTAAAGGCTTGTGCAATCTCAAGCAACCTTCTAGAACAGAGATGCTGTCTCCGGATCTGTCACTCAATTGCAGATGGAAGAGAGGGCTGCAGCTTGATCTGATCATTTTCAGAAACAATTATGCATTTTTACTGATCTCCATGGAGACCGCTCTAATACCAGCACTGTTCCTTTTATGCCCTATTTGTAGTTGAAAGCATAATTATTCCTCCTTCAGATTCTCTTTGGGACCTGTTACTTATTTAGGGAAATTAGACTCTTTGGACCAAGTAGTAATCAGACTTTCATTTTGTTAATTGTTTCAGCTCAAGAACAAAGTTGTCAGCCAGGCTGGGAGGGGTGGTGGTGAAGGACTGTGATCTTAGGTTTAAAGGGTGGAGAAGAACATTTAAGGCTCTAGCTGTCTTGAGTTCAGATTCTGTTGTGTGATCTGGTCAGGTTGCCCATCTCCTCCAGCTTCAGCATCCTTGTGAGTAAGCACAAACTCTAAGACAGTGGCTGGCCCAGGGTAGGTCCTAAATACGTGCTGCCTTTCTCCTTCTCCCCTTTTCCTTTATTACACTTGCTTGCATGAAAAATACCATTATAGCCTTGCATATCCCAGGACAAATCACTCTGCAAACTGAGTTTATGGAGTCTGAATTATTATTTACTTTCAGGGATTTCACTGTTGCATTACCTTAACATAATCTAGCAGAAAACGCATGAGTTTTTGTGTCGGGTTCAACACAGAGCTTCATGATAACAGTAACAGTTTATTCTGAATTGTGTATTGTATTTTAATAACATGCTAATAATTTCATAAGCAGCATCTTGATTAATCATTTTGCCCTAAGAGTGGGCACTCTGCCCATTTATAGCTGAGGTGCTGAGCATTGAGAGGAACTGAATTGCCTAGCATCATAAATCAGGGGCTTAACTCACTCTCTCCCCAGGACTCTTTATCTTTACTACTGAAGGATGGGGGTGGGGGCAGGAATGGCACGTGTGGCTCTCAAGGCAGCCTGTCATCAAAAGGTCTTTCTTGGACATTCAATACTCAGTCCTCTAATCTAGAAATACTCTCAAATAGAGAACAAATGTGCTGAACATGAAACCAAACTGTATGTATCAGCCAAAAACATCTACTTAGCTATTTTATAGTATATAAAAATCATCTTTTTAAAGCTATTTTCATAATTATGGTCTATCATTTTGGTGGAGGCTTGCTTATAAATTTCCCCAAATATTCTATTTTAGGTAACTCTGTGTACTTTTGAAAGACTGTTTGCTGAGGGTGTTTGTTGTTCACAGTGGGAGTATAGAGGGTCACGTCTGTCACTCACCTTCTCCTCGTTCTTTACAACTCCTCCTTAGGTTGACCTCAGATGAGTGCCCTAAAATGTTTCGTTCTCCATCACCACGGTGTTGATTAAATGAATCAAGCAAAGTACAAAGCACGCAAATGAAGGTTTGTGTTTTCCCCCTGGGCTGGTCAAAGCCGCAGACACATCTGACCTAGTGACTGCTTCTTCAGTCCTGCTATCAGCTCTCCTAATCCTTGTGGGTTCCAAACCCCTTATCTCCAGAGGTGAAGCCAACACAGTGTCTGCCAAGGGAAATCAGGAATGATTGACAAGCAGTCTAACATTACAAATGACTGGAAGAGTCTGGTTGAGTGTCAGACAAACAGGAGTTCAAGCTGCAGCTGCAGCCAGCCACTTGGCCTTGGACTAGTCACTTCAGCCTTTTAACCCCAGTTCTCTGTCTGTCAAACCGAGATAATGCTATCAGCATTAATTAGCATCTAAAACATGACCATGAACACTTCTTACAGGCTACATACAGTGGTCAGAAATTACCTCCAACCTTTGGACCCATTTTGCCCATGGCTTTTTAATTATTAAAGAATGAGTCTCAGCATACTATATTCTCTCTTCACCCACTGGACATTAATTATTTTCAAAATTAAGGTATCACATACTTAACCTTTCTTCTAGAACCCCTGTCTTATAAGGCTTTTGGATATTCATTTTCTTCCATGTTTGATTTTTTTTGGACATAATTTTCATTCCTTGGGCATATCTTAATGATGAAGTAGAGATTCTACTGATTAAAAGAAATAGCCAATGGTAAAAAGTTATCTTTGTCAGTGGTAAGGATGTCAGTGGTAAGGATCACTGGTAGATGTTGGTATCACTTTATCCCTGCTTTTAAAAGCAGGAATGGAGAGGGGGCCTGAACTGGCCATCTACTGTAAGCAGACTGATGACTACCCTAATTGTCATCAGAGATACTCTATCCAGTAACTGATGGAAGTAGATGCACAGATCCATAGCCAAACACTGGGCTGAGCTCTGGGAGTCTTGCTGAAGAAAGGGAGGAGTGATTGTATGAGCCAGGGACATCATGATGGGGGAACCCACAGAGACAGCTCATGGACTCTGGACCAACAGTTAGGGAGCCTCCATGGTACCGACCTAGGCTCTCTGCATGTGTGTGACAGTTGTGTAGCTTGATCTCTTTGTAAGGCTCCTAGCAGTGAGATCAGGACCTGGCTCTTAGCTGGCTTTTGGGAACCTATTCCCCATGCTGGATTACCTCACCCATCCTTGATGCAGGGGGAGGAGCTGGGTCCTACCTCAACTTGATGTGCCGCACTTTATTCAAGCCTATGGAAGTCTGCTCCTTTTTGAATGGATTGGAGGAGGAGTGGAAGGGAAGAGGAGAGGAAGGGAAGAGGAGAGGAAGGGAGGAGGGATAGATGGGAAGTGGGGTGGGGGGAAGGGGAGAGACCAGGAGGAGAGGAGGAGAGAAGGGAGGAGAAACTGCAGTCAGTATGTAAAATAAATAAAAGTTATTTAAATAAAAATTTTAAAAAGCAGGAGGGTAAGACTCCAAGGTGGTGTCTTACTACCTCTGGATCTGTGTACAGCACTAGATCTGCCAGGAAGAGATGCCGACTGATGCAATAGTGATCTGTTAAAGGGGTAACTGGTTGCTTTCTAATTGGATTTGAGGTTATTCCACATTCCCATCTGATATTGTAAATGTGGTTCAAACCCATGGCAGGGAAAGTCGTAGTTCCTAATGAGAGGTTATGGCTCTTGTCTTGCTAAATAGATATGCTGTGCCTATCAAATTGCCTTTTAAATAATTATGTTTCTGTCCATATATTAGTGCTGTTGTCAACTTTGTCATTAAAGAACCTTCTTCTGCTCCTCCTCCTCCTCCTCTTCCTCTTCCTCCTCCTTCTCCTCCTCCTTCTTCTTTTCCTGGCACCAGTAACTGCAGACAGAGCATGATCAAAGTACTGACAACATATGATGATTGAATGTTCGGCTGTAAAGAGAACATCTTTACGACTCCATTCAAGGCTCAGAAAACATCACAGAGGAGAGGGCAGAGAGAGTGTAAGAGCTTGAGGATGGGGTGGAATGCTGTGGTATGCTATCTTCTAGGCATGCTTGCCATGGTATGGTATGCTATCTTCTAGGCACTCCATGGCCACTGTAGTCTTGAACTCTTAAGACATCTATGAACACCTGTACAAGACCTATACAAAATTGGGTTCATCAACAGTGTGTCATGAAGGACTGGGGAGGGTTCACGAGGCCCTGCCACTCCTCCCAGAAGAGTTATAGGTGCTTCATTGATGGTGGAAAACAGAGAGACATTTTCTTCTCTGGTATAGCCATTGGTAAGATGACCGTGCTCCTATAAGCAACCCTAATGAAACCCGTTGGGACCCCCCACGTACACACACACACACACACACACACACACACACACACACACACACACACGTCATGAGGGTCAAAGTGGAAGAGGAAGGGAATCAATGGGAGTGGGAGGGAAAATGGAAGGTAGTTAAAGGTGAATATGATCAAAATACAATGTATACAGATATTAAAATGGCATAATGAAATTTATTACTATGCATAATTAACAGAGGACAGTAAAAGCGTTATGCACATACATATATTGCTAAAGAATTGAGCTAATGTCTCTCAATTTTTTTTTACTTTTAAAATCTTTAACAAAATACATTTGAATTCACACAAAGAAGCTTGTACATCATAACTTAAGTTGATTCTATTCCAGGGATGCAAGGTTGGTTCAATATATGCAGATCAATAAGTGTAACACAATACATATGCAGATTTGAAGACAGAAATCACATGATTATCTCAATAGACACAGAAAAGGAATTCAACGAAGTTCAACATACTTTCACGATGAATGTCTGAAGAAACTAGGAATAGAAGAATTCCTTGCAATTTGTTGAAATAACCTCAATTTCATCTCTAATTTTAGTAAGTGTCTTCTATGTCTTCCTTTTTGGTTAGTTTGTCTAGAAACATCAATATGAGACAAGGATTACCTCAGTAGACTAGTAAAGCCTATACTGACAACATCCAACCAACATCGTACGAAATAAGGACTAACTGAAAACATTTCTTCAAAATCTGAAACAATTCAAGGGTACTAACTCTTTCCACCCTCCCTCAGTACAGTAGCTGCAGCAATAAGACAAGAGGAAGAACAAGAGGCCTATACATAGGAAAGGAAGAGGGAGAATTACCCCTGCTGCCCATAACACAATTCAGTTCTTAAAAGACCTTAAGGCTCCTGCCAAAGCCATGGAAACAGGGGTGTGAAAGTTGTCATTCTTTGAATATTTAAAACATAATTATAGGTGTTTTGTTCTAGGCTTGGTATGGACACCCGGCAGCATTATATCTATAATGGAAGCCTAGGCTCGGGCCTTGTGAGCCTGTCACAAAAGGGCAGAGGGTGAACTACATGAGGAAAATACCAGAATCAAAGGCAGTCAGGCACTGCCCGATGCTTAAGCAGCAAGGGATCATGTGCATGGTGGTGGTCAGAAAGATTATATGATCTCCTGACATGGTGGCATCTTTGAGTACACACTGTGGTTTTCCACAATGTCAAGATCTTCTAGGCACTCATTTAACAATATGTATCCCCATCATTAAGTGATTGCAGCCCATAGTCTGTACAGGACAAGCCTGAAGACATTTCCAAAATATAACTGAGAGGCTAACAGTTGGCGCAAAGGATCATATTCTGAAGTGTTGGTCTATATTGTGTATTCCCAGTGAGCTAGATTCTCTTTTATATTTTCCTAATTTTTATTTTATTTGTTATTTGACTGTTTCATATATGTATGTAATGTATTTTGGTCCTATTTATTCTCCATTTCTCTCTCTTATTCCCCTACAGAAGTGGGAACAGACATCCACCCAGTACCAGGCCTGGCTTCAGAATGCTAATGTCATTTTGTTTTCACTGCGGCCCTCAACTGTGGGGCGACTGTTTTCTACGTCTTTCGAGGTAAGACAGATGCAGAGGTCATGCCTGAGATCGTGCCAGATTCGAACAGCCTTGTCCTTAGTGCTTTCCACACCGACCTCGGAGATCCTCCTCTTCAGCTTCCTCTATCAGTGAAGGGCCCAGGGCCCCATCACCCTGGATGGGTAGATGCAAGGGGACCAGCTGCTAACACGGGCGGTGTGGAAGATCCACTGCTTCCTTTCTCATCACCCATTGCTGGCGGCTGCTGGTGTTGAGACTGGGGGACACGGCCTCATTCCAGCTCTTCTTCCAGATCCCGACTTAGTGCTCAGACCCGCATCCCTGCCTGCAGCAACAGCACAGTCCCATCTTGTCTTAACACCGCTGTCCTTGTTATACTGCATGACAGGTGTCACTTGGTTGTTTGATTTTATTTTTTTAATGACAATTTGCTATGACTGTCTCTCTCTTTTTTTATTTTCCGCTATTTTGTTAAGCTTGTCCCTCTGAGAGATTCACCTTGAGTTCATCTCCCAGAAGCCCAGTCAACCAGTCAGGTATCCATCTACCTGCCCAGGCACCTGTGTGTCTATTGGAAAGTCCCTGTATGCCAGACAGGCTCTGTGTTAGAAGGCAGAGGTAGCAAAGGGGTGGGGTGTCTGTCATGTGGGGATCACCATCTGTGGACCTGGGTCTCAGGATCCAAATCTTCCATTTCAGTGGGCTAAAGGGCATGGGAGGAGAGACAATGGCAAGATTGCTGTGACTGACCCTTCTTCCAGCTTGGAGGAGAAGGGCAAGACAGCACAGCAAACAGAAGGGGAGACTGACTGTGACTTTGATGTTTACAAGCTTGGGTCTGGTCCCCGAGGGGAGAACATTGGCTTTTACCACCAGAATCTCTGCTTGCAGATAAAGCTAGATGCTGCAGTTCTTTGCAGGCTGAGGCAGACTGGGGGCTACTCAGCTATCTTCCTCCACATTTTCTTGACTTGTGCCTATTGCCATGTCTCTTTGGTTAAATCTCCCTGGAAACCATATCAGTTCTACTGCCCCTGCAAATGACATCTTGCCCCTCCCCTAGTTTTTGTTGTTTTTTGTTGTTGTTGTTTTTTGCATGCTCACTGACTTAAATCTCTCCCACTGCTTATTCCTTGACACCAATTCAGTGTGGAAAATTCCAGATGCCCAATATTGTTCACAAATCACATTTCTCTGCTGATGGTACAGGGAGGCTTTCCATAAGAGGACAGATTAGGACAGCATTCTGTGAGTGGGAAAAGACAGTCACATGCCTTCAGTATATTGTTCTAGAAAAAGACAAATAAAAAAGAAAGGGTCAATGCCTTAGTTAGGGTTTCTATTGCTGTGAAGAGACATCATGACCAGAGCAACTCTTATTAAGGAAATAATTTAAATGGGGCTGGCTTATAGCTCAGAGCTTTAGTTCATTGTCATTATAGTGGGAAGCATGGCAGCATGCAGGCAGACATGGTGCTGGAGAGATAGCTGAGAGTTCTCTGTCTGGATCAGCAGACAGTGGGAAGAGAGAATGACACTGGACCTGGCTTGGGCTTCTGAAACCTCAAAGCCCACCCCTAGTGACACACTTCCTCCAACAAGTCCACACCTACTCCAACAAGACCACACCTCCCAATAGTTGCCAGTCCTGGTGAGCCCATGGGAAACATTTTCACTCAAACGGCCACATTTGATTTCTTATCTGTTCCTTTGTTCCTTAGAGAAAACACAATACACAATTTGTGGCCAAAGAGAATTTGAAGACAGGACACTGTATTTTTTCTATGTTAGAAAGTCTGGTCTTTTGAGTCATGTCTGGAGACTCAGGGTAGGGTGATCATGATCACATAATGATCTTTCAAGGGTTCAGGAACTTTGAAATGATGGGTAGTGATGGGGTGAAGTCTGAGACATCAGCCAAAGCTCCTTCCACTATTCTGTACACGGTCCCTTCTCCACCCTCCTGGAAGCACACCCTATCAGCCATAGGGGCCATCTGTAGCCTAAAGTCAAGATGAGCAACTGGAAGAAGATACTAAACACGGTGACTTTGCATCAAGAACTTAAGTAGAAAAGATGCAGATGTAGTCACTGTATAATGGACAAAAGTTTGCATTAAAACATGCATATGAATGTTTCTCCTGCATATCTGTATACCATGTGCATATAGTGCCCATAAACACCAGAAGAGGGTGCACAAGACAATAAACCTGGAAGCCATTCACTCAGGGTGCCTTTGGTGTCTGTCAATCATCTGACACTCTAGCTCCCTGGATTAAAGTACATCCTGTTGCTCTCAAAGAACCCACATTCCTGGCACATTTGGAGCCCATTTTGGTTTTTCTGTTTGGTTAAGTTCCAACTGTTACCTGTCAGTCACTTGAACAAGATTCAAATGTGATATAATGTAAAAGCAACATAATGCTGTGCCTGTGAATGTCTCAAGACATCCAAAAAACTCCAAATTCCAAATCAAATTTGGATTCAATCCTATGCCAAGTGGGTGCTAAGAGACTGAATATTGGGTTTCATCTTGAATCTAGATGTTTCTGCCTTCCAGCAATGGTAGGACTCAATCATGATGAAATGACACAAGTAACCTTAACTGTGTCCTTCTGCTCTCTACATTGTCTCACTCTTCCCTAGAGCCACCTTAATGCGATCAATCCACGGAAGTCTGCTTAAGGAGTATTAGGGAAATTTATTAGGGTAAATTGAGGAAATACACTCACAAATACAGAACCAAGTAGATGGCTGAAGTCGTCCTCTGATCTGATTGGGAGCGAATCCACCTGGCAGTTTGATGAGACCAGGAAGGAGGCAACAGGGAGAAGGAGCTTGTGACCCTTCTCCCTTACCTTTTAAGAGATCACAGACAATGGCAAAAAGCACCACCTCCCTTGGGCCCTATAGCCCAAGGTCATGGGCAGAACAAATAACACTACATCACCTGCTACATGACATGGCATTGATTACACTCAAGTATAAGGCACTACATGCATTAGAATGATTTATTTAGTGTGGGGGAGTTTCAGGTGTGTGTGTCCCATGGTGCACATATGGAGGTCAGTGGGTTGCATATCTGCTTTTACTTCTTAGGTTTCAGGAATTGAACTCTGGTTGTCAGGCTTGGTATCTCAGGCCTCATTGCATACCTTAGAAAGGATCAGTATGGTTGATTCTGTAATTTGCTGCCTTAACTCTCAACTGATGCTCAAGTCCCTACTCTCCTTTTCTTTATACAGAAGGATCAGGAAGGTGAAATAAGTGTTGTGATTATTTATTGCTAGCCCAGAAACTTTGCTTTCTGGTCCCCTTCAATGAGCCTGTCATCCATCCATCTAGCCTGTGCCACTGCAAACAACTTTTCCAAAGCTGAACTTAGGACTTTTAGAACCAAATTGCAGTGCCAGGCTCAGTTGGTGGTCCTACAATCCATCCATCCATCTGCTCTTCCACATATTCATATTTCCATCCATCCATCCAACCATCCATCCATCCACTCTTCCATGTATTCATGTTTCCATCCATATATCTATCTGTTTATTGACTCACCCATCCACCCATCTACCCACTTATCTATGAATCCATCCATCCATCCATCCATCCATCCATTCATCCATCCATCCATCCATCCATCCATCCATCCATCCATTCATCCACCTATCTGTCCTGCTTCATTCAATAGTTCAAGTCACACATTTGGGTAAGCACCAATAGTGTGAGTGGTAAATTCAGGCTTAGGTTTCATCATGTTCTGTCACTAATATAACTTTGCTCATATCTCCATATGTCTATCTTGGCTTTAATTGCATCATTTATAGAATGGAACTAGTAATACTGAGTCAGACATCTAAGACACTGAGTGATAATAATATGTATCACATTTTGGTGTAAATAGAAAACGATGCGTGGTATACAATGTAGTGTTTGGGGCTTAAACATGTGATGAATTAGTTCTATCATTACCATTCACATTACTATTAGTAGCATCTATGTGTGTCTGTACAGATGGAAGCATTCTGATATAAGAATGTTTGCATACACACATTTTACTCACAAAGGAGTGCAAATATAATATAGTATAGATGGGGGCAAGTCAATCAAATGAATTTGGCAAAGGCATGTAGCCCCTGTCATGCCTGGAGGGGACTACCTTCAGGTTCGTGATTATGTAAGAGTCATTCCTTAAAATGTTATATGTACAGTTCAAGTCTTCAGAATGAATTTTTAGGTCATGTACCTAATGATTATAAACAATAGTTACTGTTTAGGAAGTATTTGATCTGGCTGGCATTAAGTGATTCACATATGTCAATTACTTAATCTTTGCAATAATATTAAAAAGATTTGGAATCTTTTCTGTTCTGGCAAGGCAAAGTGACATTTATAGAAGTCACGGTCCTTGTTGCAGGTCACACTGTCTGTGGCCAAGTTGAGGTTTATCTTGAGTCTAATTTCAGAGCCTGGCTCTTGCCCCTAAGCTGTGTCCCCACGCCACAGAGAGCTGATTTCTATTTATAGATACCTCTGCCTTTGGGGTTCTTTTTAATCAGTGCTGTGGTGGTTTTCCAACTCTGTGTCCCAAGGTCACTGCAGTCTCATGTCCATTTCTGATAAGAGCCAGCTGTTGCTAAGTGATGCATTTTCCAAGTCTTTGGTTCGGCCCTGGAGAATAGACTTCACATCCAAAATGATGCTTGAGTAGCATTTTGCCTCGCGAAGCCACTTGTCAAGTTTGCCTCCATAGGATCTGCCTTACAGTTCTTACCACCATCTGTTAGCTTGGCTAAATAACCTATGCTCAGGGTCCCAGCAGAAGCCAGGTGGGCAGCGCTGTACCCTGAACTACAAGATTGTGGCAGCTGGTCTATCCAAGATGCCTATACATATTTATTACACAACCCTTAACTCCCTGTAGGATACACGATGGAGAAGACTGCATTTCCCCAGCTTCTGTCTGGAGAACAACACTCTCAAGATCATTCTCTAGTTATCTAGGTTGCAGAATTTCCTGGAACCTCTAAGTCAGTGGTCCCATTGGCCTCATCATTTGCTGTTCACATTCTTCATAAATGACAGCCCTGCTGTGCAAGTTTTCCATGCATGATCTCATCTCATCTCTGAAATAAATTGCTACAGTGTCCATGTTACATGTGAGGAACTTTCCACACAAAAAGATGCAATTGCTGGTTGGGGAAATATTCAGATAGTTGAACTAGAACTTGAATTCATATTTGTGACTCCCATGTAGGGTCCAGTGATTCTGCATGGTGGCTTTGCATGCCGACATGATGGGTAGAGATGGTAGCAGAAGGGAAGGTCATGTCCAATGGGAACTAGTGCTGTGTACATACTGCATGAAGTAGAATGCAGTCCCATCCCAAAAGGCCAGAAAACATGAGTTAATTCTACGATAAAAATATACCTATGAGAGTTAGAGAAGTAGTCTTTCCCCAAAGAGGAGCCCCCAACTGGTTATCTACTATCATGTGCTCAGTCCTGAAATCATCTATGTATAAGCAGCACTAAACAGGCTTGGAGAGTTGGATTTCCATATTTATGTGTATCTATATATGTAACAATAACAATTAAAGAAAAGGGGGCCAGAGATTTGAGAGTGAGAGGGTGGGTTGGGGATGTGGAAATAATTGAAGAAGGAAAGGGAAGGGGACATAATGTAATTGTATTTTTTTAAAAAAAAACTTGAAATCTCCACGTGACTGGGAAAGATGTGAAGAGAGCAGAAAGAGGGCAGTCCAGAGGCAAAGGGAGCAGCTGGACACAAGGAGTAACTTTCAATGCTCTGTAGCTTGATAGAAGGACTATGGCAGAAAACAATTAACTGTGTATTTGGACATGGCCGTTAGAGAGGGTTTTGAATGCTCCCAGCACAAATTACATTTGTTTTAGGTGATAGATACACCAACCATCCTGCTTTGAGCGTTACACTGTACACAACATGTGTGGTTCTCATGTGTCAACTAAAAAACTTAAATCAGAGTTTGGCGTGACCCTGTTGAGGGAGCAGCTGGTGAGAGAGCCGAAGTTGTTCATGTGCTGCAGGTGGTGGGGTAAGCCAGCTGGCAGGCTGAGAGAGCCAGCAGCCACTTGAGCAGGGAAAGGTGCCAAACTGGGGTGAAAAGGGCACTGTTCAATCCCACTGTGCACCTCGACCTGCCGCGAACACTGTCGTTCACAAGGAACATTCACTTAGAGAAGCCTTCCCTGGCTGGTTTCAGCTCAGTGGAAAACTCCTGACACTTGGGATCTGAATTCCATTTAGGTATTACCAAGATAAAGGTAAAAATCTTGTACATAGGAGATATTGTGTCCCTTCAACAGCAGCTGTATCAAGGCGTGTTTAAAAGATCCCTGAAGAGACTGCTGGGGGATCGGCAAATGTCTCTAATAAAACAGCTTCTTGTCAGAAAGCAGTGAGTCAGTAATGCACGAATTAGAATCCTCTCAAGGTCCAGATGTATTTTGCGATTGAGAATGAGGAATTGCTTCCTGAAAAGCCAATGGAACTAGTTTTTGAAAAGCAATTTCTGTAGGAGTCAAAGTGCCCATTAGAAGAGTGTTTGGAAACCTGGAAATCATGAAATAGCTTTGGGAAGCTTCAGAAATCAGCTTGAACTTTGCTGTTTACATTACTTTTTGCATTACATTATTTTCACTCAATCAAAGCCTCATACATGAATCTAGAAATCTGCAAAGACAAACCTCTAACAGCGAAGTGAATCACGGTGTTCCTTGTGTTCACAATGAAACTGTGCCGGGCAAATGGCTATTGACATTGTGAACAACCTCCTCCTGTGTGTCTATTCACCAGAACACATCCTCACAAAAGCCCGAGTCTCAGGGATGGCTGTGCTATATAATTGGTGTCCTACATAGGTTTGAATGATGCCACACTGGCTATTCCAGGATCAATCTTGTTTACTCCAGGCCTTGGCTAAATTGACTGCCAGCAGGACTCCCTCAGGAGGCTGCAAAAGCATTGTCTCCAGCAACTTTCATCCCACCCCAGATGCTCCATGGTCAGGTCTATGGGGTCCAGACTGCATGGTTGGAACATGTTTGCAAAGGGCTGCGTGAGACCACTGTTCAACCAATCCTTTCCTCTTTTGTGAGCAGGGAAGGGATGCTAGGTGAAAGATAGTGGTATCCCATGAACTTTCACTGACCCTAGTTCAGTTCATTTTTGATTGATATGCTATTTAATTCTCTTAAAGGCCCAGAGCAGTGTAATTATTCCCACCTTAGAGTTGAAAAATTGAGATTCAAGGAAAGTCACAATTTGCCCAATAAATTTCTCTACAACATCGTCTTTTAGGGTCAATGTTGAGGAATATTACACAAGCACTCCTGGAGGGTGGCCATTCGGTCAGCATATCAAGTGTGTTATATAGAGGAAGAAAGCGTGTATCATGTTTCCACTTCATGCCATGTGCTGCTATTTCAAGTAATTATTTGATCCTCAAAACAGTTCAATGATTTTTTTCTTCATTTCAATCATTTTTTCAAGATAGGAATGTTTTCTCGGTAAATTTAAACAATCAATTTTAATTTTTTTTTTCAGTTTTATTCTATGTGTGACTGCTTGTCTGCATGTGCACCAGGTACATGCAGTACCTGCAGGGGCCAGAAGAGGGTGCAGGATCTCTTGGAATTGAAGTTACTACAAGTGGTTCTGAGCCACCACTGTGGGTGCTGGGAACTGAACTTGGATGCTCTGTAAGAGTAACAAGTGCTTTTAACTACTCAGCCAATCTCTTCAGTCCTCAGAAAACTGATTTTTAAAAATGAATGATATGTAGAGCTAAATATAGAAAAGCCAACACAAAGATTGTCTTGAAAGTTCAAGGAAAAATATTGGAAATCCATCAGTCACTTTTAATCAAAGAGCATAATTCACAAAAGCAAATTCTGAATAGAAGATGGTATCTGGTTCCTCCGTATTTCAAATGTGAAAGCAACTTAATACAGAAAATTCCTTTTTTTCTTCTTCCTGTTCCAATGGTGTTAAGAGGGACATACAGATTACTAAGCACAGCTAATAGCAACGGTTAAGCAGTGGAAATGTGAAAAGAAATCAGCTTTCCAGAATAAGAGAGACCTCAAAGGGTCATGCTTTCAGTTTCTTGTTTGGCCCTTATAAACCAGGGGGAGGGATGGACCTTGTCGTCACTTAACTCGGAGGGCTTGGATTCCACAGCCATCGGCCACCAAAGCCACCCTGGGCCAGCAGTTTCCAGGTCTTTCATTTCAAAAACTTGAAAAATGAATTTCATGGACAATGTGAGGGACGAAAGGAGCTTTATTACAAAATAGAGTATAAGAAAAGGAAGCATTCAGAGGCCCCACCCAGCCAGCGAGGGTCCCAGGAGAGCTGCTGCTGACAGTCTTTGTCTAGGGATTCATAAGGCTCTGCTAGGTCGAGGCGTGAGGAGGTGAGCTGTGAGGTCCAGTGGCCCCGCCCAGGAGGCGTCCACCCTTCTCTTCAACCTGGTGTCTGGAGTGGGGTTTCAGGCGTGTCCCCAAAGCCAATGAGCACCTGACCACGCATCGCTTCTGGGCAGCCATGCTCGATCGATCGGTTGTTGTGTAAAGCGAGAAGAGGTGACGAGAAATCACAACAAGAGCCAGGCCCTAAACGTTTGTGACATTTGTGGCCTCTGGCCAGACAGAACTACAGCCAGAACCAAAGACATTTGCAGCCTCTAGCAGGACAGAACTGGCTGACTGGTTGTCAAGGACAAGAGGCAGAGCACTTGATTTCACCACCACCACCGCCCCCCAAAAAACCGTGCCTGAGCAGTTCCTTTTTCTTGTTCCCATTGTTTTCATAGATCACAGTTAAACACCAATCTCTAAAATCAACTGGCACAGTAATAAAATGCCTAAATCTTAGTTACTATCAACATCTTCAAAACATAACTCCCTGTGAATTCCATAAGCCTGTTCATCCTTTCCTCAGTGCAAGCTCCTCAAAGCATCGTCTTTTCAGGATTAACCCACATCCATAACTATTCTACATTTAACTCAGACTGAAACTCCATGATTGAATTTTGTGGGTCATCCAAACAGGCCTTTACTTACAAGAACACATGTATACACTCTACAGCCTCCTGAGAATTACAAAACATTGTTTGAGAATTTCATACCCGCATATAACATTTTAAAGAAAGCCACCCCATCCCCTCCCCTATTGCCTCCATCTCTTTCTTCTCCCAACTTCAAGTACATTTTTTATAAACCTATTGAGTCCACTTAGTGTTGCCTTATGTGCATGGTGTAGAACTATCTACAAGAGCATGGGCAGACTCTTGGGGCTGTATCCCTGAAGAAAACTGACTCTCCCTCCCCAGTGTTCACCAATTGTCAAAAGCTCCTCAGTTGGGAGTGGAAATTCCTGAGATCTTCCCTCCTTCATGTTGGGATCCTCCCTCCATCATGTTGTGATCCTCCCCCCACCATATTGGGATTCTCCCTCCATCAAGTTGGGATCCTCCCTCTTTCATATTGAGTTCCTCCTTCCACCATCTTGAGATCCTCCCTTCACCATCTTGAGATCCCCCCTCCATCATGCTGGGATTCTCTCTCTATCAGGTTGAGATCCTCCCTCTATCATGTTGAGATCCTCCCTCCTTCATATTGAGATCCTCCCTCCATCATGTTGAGATCCTCCCTCCTTTATATTGAGATCCTCCCTCCTTCATATTGAGATCCTCCCTCCACCATGTTGAGATCCTCCCTCCTTTATATTGAGATCCTCCCTCCATCATGTTGAGATCCTCCCTCCTTTATATTGAGATCCTCCCTCCTTCATATTGAGATCCTCCCTCCATCATATTGAGATCCTCCCTTCATCATGTTGACATCCTTCCTCCATCATGTTGGGATCCTCCCTCCACCATGTTGGAATCCTCCCTCCACCATGTTGGGATCCTCCCTCCACCATGTTGGGATCCTCCCTCCATCATGTTGGGATCCTCCCTCCATCATGTTGAGATCCTCCCTCCACCAAGTTGAGAACCTCCCTCCACCATGTTGAGATCCTTCCTCCATCATGTTGGGATCCTCCCTCCACCATGTTGAGATCCTTCCTCCACCATGTTGGGATTCTCCCTCCACCATGTTGAAATCCTCCCTCCATCATGTTGGGATCCTCCCTCCATCAGGTTGAGATCCTCCCTCCACCACGTTGGGATCCTCCCTTGAAGTGACTCCCCCTGGGACTTAACACCATGCTCGTTTATATTCTCTTCTTCAAAGGCATATGAGTTTATATAATCCAGACATTTTACTTCTGAAGAGAGTACTGAACAGAATAGAAATAAATGTGTGTGTGTGTGGGGGGGGGGGGTGGCAGGGTCCTGTGTAATTTTATTCTGTTCTGTTCAAACAAGGTTGAATCTCAGGTACATATCAGGAAATAAGAGCAACTGAGCACGATATGGACTTCTTCATCCATAGCATCTTGATTTTCAAGCTTGTTATAGGGAATGGCTGTTGCTTACAACACTCTCCAAAGGGGCAGGGCATGCTATGCACTCTCCATGCCCAGAACCAGGGTATATTCTGCACTCTCCAAGTCCAGCAAGGGGCAGGGGGTGGGGTGGAGGGCATGCTCTGCACTCCCCATGCCCAGCACCCCAGCACAAGGGCATACTTTGCCCTCCCCATGTCCAGCACAGGGGTATGCTCTGCACTCCCCATGCCCAGCACCGGGCCATGCTCTGTAGTCTCATGAGTATTTACACTCATGTATTCATACTCACGAGCTACCAGGGCCAAAGGGGAATAAATTTCTGTCTTGATGAAGTTCATCCTCCAAGTAGAGTCTACAATGGCCTGAGCAGCAGGTGATGCTCTAATGGCCTGTCACATTTTATATTGACAGTCTTTCAAATAATGAGAATTGATTCCTGGGAGATCAATTGTTTCTAAACAAAAAACATTTTTAATGTTATCCTCCAGTTTACAATGTGTTGTACGGCAGTTTCCTCTGAATGAAATATCCTCTCCCAGAGGGAGGGCTAAGCTTATGAGACGCAGGGGTAAACAAAACATCAATGTCTGGGAGGGTGGAAATTTAGAAGGTTCTGGAAGACTTCTCCTCGGCTTTGTAGAAACAGTAGCCGAGTACTGAGGGAGGAGACTCATCAGTAGAGCTACAGACATTCTTGGACCTGTGGAGCTACTTGCAGGTTGTGCAGAGATCCAGGGTTGCAGCCTCATGAGTCGTCACCTGTGTGGGGGTGGGCTTTGCAGTGATGCCGCTGATTTTGAGCCATCCCTTCACTTGTAACTCCCATCCATACCCCTGTTAGTAACCTCATCAAGTTGGATTTGGGCACAACTGTTACTTTTGTCTACCCTGAGTTCTCTTTCTGGGGTGAGTAAATGCACGTGTGTTGTGTCTCCCTGTCTCCTCGGGAAGTCTCTCACACACTACTTTACATGTAGCGCCTTCCTCTGGTTCTCGCAGCTTCAGTCATTGGTGCAGCTTGCATTTGTTCCCTGAGGATCTTGCCTATGTTTGTCTGTCATAAATGGTTCATTATTCCAGCACATTTCAACTCTTCCAACAATGACATTCAGTGAAAATACATGTGATCCCAATTTTCAATAGCATCCTCCACATTCATCCAATGATACCTGAAGTAATCCATCAGGAAGTTATATGGGCTCAGTGCTTTAAACCACAGATGTAATCAAGGCTGATGAACAGGCTTCTAAGTAAGTCTGGCTGATTTCTGTGATGTCCCAAGAGCAACCGCATCTCTTAGTGCTCCCCCATTCATTGTGAGAACATCGTGGATCTCTGTTTCACTAGATCCAAGCAACCAATGAAACCCAAAATGTCTGTAACTGTAGCCTGCAGAGTTTCACCCTTAATTTGCCTCGACTATAGTAAATATGCTGTAATTCTTTCCTTGTCAGCTACACATTTTCCTTCAGGAAATTCTCGAAGACAAAAGATCAGTTCTCCTGGCTCCAGGCCAGCTGTTCTTAACATCTGAACAGGTGCCCAGGTTTGGTCCCCATTGCTTACTCCCGTAGTCACCCTTCCTTGTTCAAGAGATGGCACAGTTTGCCTTCTGTAGTTCTGTCTTTGTTGATGGTATGCTTAGCTGTAGCAGGCTCTTCAGGCCCCCTGACTGACTCTGTGACTCATATTTACTTTGGAGTCAAGACTACCAATATTAGCACCCAGTAAAGCTCGGATGCCTTCCACAGCATGAGAAAGAGTGCTGATACTACTTTCTTTAATACTAACTGGGGGAAACCTTGGGATCCCATTGGCCTGAAAAGTGTATCCTCAGCATCGAAGGAAGACTCTGAGTCTGGTTTATCTACCAGAACTGAATCCCCTTCCTCAGCCCCCAGAGGAACTGAGTCCACTTCCTCAGCCATTCCATTTTCAAGTTCTCATTTGTCTTGAAAATTATTATCATCTTTACTGGAGACATTTCTTCTTCGTGTTTGAAGTGTGAATTAATAGGGTTTGATAAAAAGCAAAATGAAGAGTTGCATGTATGAGTTCCAAATTTCCAGACTCCTGGGAAATGTGTAAGAGGCAGAGGGATGGCACCTCACTGGGTGGGTATTGACCTCATCGTTAGGTCTGCTTCTACGGGTTCTGTCCTTAGAAGAATATTAGGGCAATTGCAGACAGGGACAGAACATACTTCACAATTGACAATGAACTCTGTGCAGAGTAACTCCCATAGAAAGCAATAATTTTGTCACAGCCTGTGATAGAGACAAAGAAAATAAAAGCAATATGGACACAAGGAAGAATGGATTTATATATGTAAACACCCAAAATGGATGCTATCTAAACATTACCCATTCACAAGGACTAACTGGAAACTCAGTGAGCATGTGTCCCCAGCATGGTGTTGAATGTAGCCATGACAAAGAATGACATGTATGTCTGAAGGCTCATAGGAAACAACACTCACTATGTGTAAGTAAACACATGGTAAATATACAACCCCTTCCAGTTGCTACAAACTCTAGCTGGAAGAAAGGCGAGGCTTTCCTTGACACTGTTTGAACTCTGCACTGGAAACACAAATATGCGCTACGTAGACATAAGTGGGAAAGGAGCTGGAGAGAAATCTTATCTGCTAAAACCAAGTTAGTTTCCTTTGTCCCATCAGCACATGGATCTGGTGGTTTCTGGTGAGTAAGAATTAAGAGTGAATTCCGGAGAGACAGAGGCTTTGCCGGTATCCTTGGCTGGGAACCATGTGGAAAACACGCATACGACCAGTGTTCTGACACTGGACCACCCAACAAGTCTCTCTTCCTGTCCATTACACTGTGTGTGAACCACACATCCCCCCAGGGGTGGGTTAGCAGGCCTGGGCTCTGGGTATTCTCAGCCTGGTTTAATCCTTGAGTCTAGGCTAGTCACGTGATTTGTCTTTGTCCAATGGAAACTGAGACTGAGTAACTTCTGAGGGTGGGTGTCATGGTCATGACTTGTCTGAAGCATAGACAAACATATTTTTGTCTTTCCACAACATCAGAATTTATCGAGTGACAACAAATCAAATCACAGGGTGTGCTGGTGCCAGTGGCGACAACCGACCTGGCGATTCCACCATCTGTGATGATCCTGGATGAGGTCCTCTTATTCTGATCCTAACTATGAATATCAACTCTCATCTCACAGTAAATCTATTTATCTATTGTCTGTATGAAGATTGCAGGTATTTCAAAGGATCACGAGGCTGCAGCAGAACTCAATAGCTTTCAGAAGTCCTGAATGACAAGGAAGCTGGTAGAGATGCAGAGCCTGCATTGATGAGAAACCCAGGGCAACTGAAGAGTAAGCTGGGGAGCCAGCAGCTGCCACTGTCTCCAGCCAGGCTGTGTGTGAGCTGAGCTACAAGAGTGAGGTGAAGCAAAGAGCAGGACAGGTCCAGTTGGATGCACAGGAGGGTGGATGGGTGGATAGCAGGTCCAGACAGACGAAAGGAAGGATGGGTGGATGTCAAGTTTCGGATGAGGGGATGGGAGGATAAACGGGTGTCAGGTCTAGATGAGTGACGGGGGAAATGGATGGATCGCAGCTGTAGATGAAGGGAGGGCGGGCAGTCAGCAGCCTGAATGTGGGATATTAATAGTGGGGAGCCAGTCAAACTGAAGCACCTGAGATAGTCGGGAGTACTCTGCCTGTTGGTCCTTGGCACATGTACGGGGCGCGGGGGGGGGGGGGGGGGGGGAGGTTAGAGTTCTTGGGGCCATTGCCATCATAGTGTTAGATGTCTTCTTCTTTAGAGGTCTGGATGAGAATGTCACAGCCTTCCCTTGGTCTGCTGTGTCTTACTGGCTCTCAAGCCTAGTTTTTTTTAATATAATTTTAATATACTCATTGCTGCTGCAGTCTCAATTCACCCAATAAGTCTGAAATGTAACACACTTTCTACTTTCAGTAGAAGTTACTCCGCTGAGTGGATGGTGTGGTGATATAATATGTATCAAATAAAGGACAGAGCCAGCCACTAGATTAAACATGGAGGCCACACAGCGGTGGCATATACCTTTAATCCTAGCATTCGGGAGGCAGAGATCTGTCTGGATCTCTGTGAGTTCAAAGCCACCCCAGACTACATGAGATTGATTTAGTCTAGGAGAGAAACAGAGCCAGGCAGTGGTGGCACACACCTTTAATTCCAGTACTTGGGAGTCACATGCCTTTAATCCTAGCATCTGAGATCTCATGCCTTTGCTACCAGTATTTGGGAAGCACACATGCCTTTAATTCCAGCACTAGGAAGGAAGTGAAATGGCTGAGTGGAGAAAGGCTTATAAGGCATGAGAAGATAGGAACTAAAGGCTTTTCAGCTGAGGACCCAGAGGATTTCAGTCAGAGGATTCACGGAGATAGGATCTTGCCTTCCATTGGGCCTGAGGATTCAGTACTGGTGAGAAGTTTCTCTAGTGGGTTTTTCCTTTGTCTCTCTGATCTTTCAGCATTTGCCCTAATATCTGGCTCTGGGTTTTCTTATTATAAGACCTTTAGAATTCATGCAACAGGGTGGTGCTGGATAGAGGATGCTATTTGTGTCTAACCAGGTAAAGAGTCATTCTCTATCTTTAAAATGGAGTGAAAGGTTTAAATTGTAATCTTTCTCGGTGTGGTGGTTTGAATAGGTTTGAATAGAATACCATGGACTCATGTGTTTGAGTGCTTGGCCCATAGGGAGTGGCACTATTAGGAAGTATGGCCTTGTTGGAGTAGATGTGGCCTTCTTGGAGGAAGTGTGTCACTGTGGAGGTGAACTTTGAGGTCTCATATATGCTGAACAACACCCAGTGTGGTGCTCAGTTAACTTCTTGTTGCCTGCAGATCAAGATGTAGAACTCTCAGCTACATCCCCAGAACCATGTCTGCCTGTGTGCTGCCTTGCCTCCTGCCATGGCAAATAATGGACAAAAACTCTGAAACTGTAAGCCAACCCCAGTTAAATGTTTTCCTTTATAAGAGTTGCTGTGGTCACAGCAATGGAAACCCTAACTAAGACACGGGGCAAGACAGTCTGAAAAAACACAATCATACACACACAGAGTAGCTTAGGGCAAGACACAGACTCACGTTCCCAGTTGCTCAGAGTAGCCTTGTGATTCCCAGGAGGGTCTTTAGGAATGGATTTATCTATTTGTATTTGTTTTATAATTGAGCATTTGTGCCCCCAGACCACTCTCTGCCTTCCCTTTTTTATGCCTTTCCCTACTCCCATTTCGTCCCTTTGTGCCCCTGGGCAATCTCACTTCTTTCATGTCACGTACATATGTGAGTGTATGCCTCTGTATAAGATCTGGGAACCACAAATGAGAGAAATCATATCATGTTTGTCTGAGGCTGACTTAAATAGCTTACTGTGATGAAGTAGTTTGCACTTAGGCAGGGGGATTCACATTTGTTTACGTACGTTTGACGACAGCTTTTGCTTTGGTATACTGAGCACCAATGAAAAATTCACATGGGTCTCTATCACAGAAAACTCCTAAGACTTGGACCAGTTGCGTGGCGTGAAGGGTTTATCTTTTGAGTGTCTCCACTGAGGATCAGGGGGTCTCCGTGGCACAATGCCAGGCTATGCAGAGCCCAGCAGAAAGTTACAGCTCAATATCTGGGCCAGCCAGAGACTGCTGCCAACAGTTCTGTGCCCCAGGGGAGCTAAATGCTATGCACTGCTGACCTCAACCACCGCGACTGGAGTTTCTCGCTGTCACTCATTTTGGGACGACGTTGAGGTGGGGTTGAGCTTCACAATGCGTAGGGTCAGGGCCCACATTCCAGGCAGTGGGAATAGTACCGATCTCTCTGGGATGCAGTTGTCTGTGTGGTAGCCCATATGCATCTCACCAGGGAGAAGTGGAGGCAGAAGCAGCGTGTGCAAAGAAGAGGCGCATCTGCAGAAGCTGAGTGAGCCCAGCCGTTCCACAGCAATCCACTCTTACAGCAACCAAGCCAGTCATGTAGGTTTAACTCACTCCAGAGAGACAAAGCCAGCCTCTAGAGAGCCAACTCAGATGCTTAATAAAGAGTAGAAAGACTCCCTGTGGTCCATTTAGCTCCCACAAGGCCCCACCTCTTAAAGGGCCTGCCATATGTTAAAACTGTGTCCAAATTTCTAGCATGTGAACCATGAGAGCCAAACCACATCCACACCACAGGGTGCAGAAGCCTTGGCCTATGCTCCACCACAGATGCATCTTCATTCCTCTGCACATGACAGTCCTCTGCCAAGAAGACCCATGTGCATTTGTTCAGCCTGGAAAGTGTGTGCTCCCCTTCCAACGCTCCGCCTTCATCCAGCTTTCTCTGAGATGCCCTGCAGCATCTCTGGTAGGGCTGAGATTAACTTCCCAGCTTCCCTCAGATCTTCAAATTCTGTCTCTCTTGCCTGAAGCTGCCTGTGTCTGCTGGCTTCCTTCTGGGTTTGTGAGGATGTCAAACAGATGGTACTTGCTGGGGCCCTACATCCCCCAGGCTTGCCTCCCTGAAGGTGAGGGCAGGCCACAAGCAGGTACCTGGAAGTAAAGAGTGGAGAAGAAGGCATCGGGGCAGTGAGTTGAAGCTTAAAGGTCTTTTGAGTTACCTGATAGTGGAAGAGAGGGAGGCAGACACCCTGAGGTGGCTAGGTGGAGGCTCATTTTGAAGTAACAAGGAAGAGCCTTGGTGTGGGTGGAGAATGGAGGGTCTCCCAGCCCTAAGCTGCACTTCCTCATTTCTGGAGTCTACCATCTGTGTTCCAAGGCTGGAACACATCCTTCCTTCCTCCAGTGGCTCCCCTCTGACATCCCAGAGTCCATAATGTCATCTTCACTGACACCCTTGCATCCCTCTGCCCCTACCTCCGTCTGTGTGGCTCACCTCTCATGCAGAGCTCAGGCACCAGAGTTTATAGGGAAACAGTGTTATGTAGTCACTGCCAAAACGCCCCACAGAGCATGACAGACCTCCCACTTGGAGAGTTTTCACAAACCTTTAAAGGTTACAGTCTTTCTACCCTGCAATCATCCCACAGATGCTGTCAGGAACGTCACCCTGAATGAAAGCTTGCAGTGAGCAAAGTTAACACAGAAGAAGGCTGCCAATCTCCAGGGTGCTGTGGTGAAGGCTGGGGTACGAGCTGTCCTGAGATTAGAAATTCACAGTCCAGAGCTCACACTCAGGTGAGAGCGCTTCTCGCTTGGCCTTCTCCATGTGGCTTGAAGGGCTGATCAGACCTTTGGCTTTGGGAAGAAGTAAGTGTGCTCTAATGCTTAGCCCTGCAGTCCTGTGACTCTCCGAACATCTCTCCACTTGCTACCCAGGTATCATTGACCTTGTAATGTGCTAGGGGGTTATTCGTGGACACGGTCCTTGCAGTGAGGAAGGTTGAGCTGCAGAAGTGTGAGGTGGGTGGTCACATTGCATCAGCAATCAGGGAGCAGAAATGAAAGTTGGTACATGATTCATTTTCTTCTTCTTCTTTTTCCAAACCAGGGCCCTAGTCCCTGGGGTGGTGCTGCCCACATTCAGGATGTGTTTTCCCATTTTGGTTAAACTTGTCTGGGAACATCTGCATACACAACCCATCCAGATGTGCATTTCCATGGTGGTTTCAAGTACAGTCAAGGTGATACTGAAAATTAACAGCTACACACTTCTTCAACTCTGGGATGGTGAAGGTCCCCCACTCTGCCTCTTCTTAGCTGTAATTTCCTCTCCATAGGACTTCATTTCCTCTGCAAAATTCTACAAAGAAGTCACATTTGTTATGAATGAGTCTTCAAGGGGCTAGATCATAAAGTGTGCTTGTGACAGAGCTCAGTACAGGGCAAATTCTTGCTAACTGTTAGAATTATTATCAGTGTTTATGTAATAAACACTCATCAAATGCATACAGCAAACCTCCTGAGATTACAAAAGGGCCTTAAATTAAGCTGAAGAATTTGTTATAAGCCCAACAATTGGCCTCCTCTCAAAGGACTGGCTTTCAATTATCCTTGTTAGTCCACTCCAGAAAAGCATGAGTGTTAGGATCCTGTACATGCACAGCTTGGGGTCTTGCATCTTACATCATCAGGGGGTGTTGGCAGCTACATATGCTCATTAAAAAGCCGGATGCAGACCCCCACCCTCTCTCTGTTCCCTGCCCTACTCTGCTTCCTCCCCCCAGGTCTGGGTCTCTCCTCTTTCCCTTTCCCCTCCTTTTCCTCCTAATAAAGCCCTAAAAAGTACCACTGGGTTCTGTTGTGACTGTGACCTTTCCACGAGGTAACCCTTGCCGCCACCAGCGCCGTTTATCATAACCATCAATGGGTACATTCCAGTATTGTCAACTGACCCAGTATTAGTGGACTGCACACAATCAAGCAGAAAAACAGGGGTTTTCAGATAAAGAGGCTGAAATTCACATCTCAGGCTGTGTGCTGTTAAGCAAGTGGTCTCACCTCTCTGAACTTCCGTCTTCTCAACTGTGAGATATGGACACTAACAGCTGCCCTCTGGGCTTGTTTGGAAATGTTCAAAGAATACTATAAGGCCCAATAAACATGCATATATGCACACACACATTTTCATTTTATTGTGCATGTATCCATGTGGGCACCTATGTGTCAGTGTGTGTGTGTGTGTGTGTGTGTGTGTGTGTGTGTGTGTGTGTGTGTGTGTAGGTCAAAAGACAATTTATGGGGGTCGGTTCTCTCCTTTCACCTTGGTAGAACCCACATCTTTGGCTCTTTTAAAGAAGTATCATTTTCCTGGGGGTGCAGATCAATGGTGGAATAGTTGGTTAGTATGCACAGGCCCTGGTCCAGTCCCAACACTGCAGATAAAATCCTGTCAAGCCCTGCAGAAGATAGTCTCTCATTCTCCTGACCCAGGTATGGTCCTGCTCTTCTCCAGGCAGACACCATCAGCGCATTCTTACTACCCTCTCCCAGCTCATCTGAAAACACACATTATGCACAACACTGCCCATATTTGAAACGGTGAGATCTGAAACTCCAGGAAACACCTTTCATTATTAACCAGGCGTCTCCCATGGCTTTCTGACCAGAACAACAGTATTTCAAAGGAGCTGCAAGAAGCAATCATAAAGAGAAAAAAGCAAAATAAAGCATGGAGATCTCCTGTCCTGGTAGTCACAAGGGCAAGGGGACTCTACCCACAACTTTACAGAAGCACACAAGCAGATAAAGGAGGTTCTCACTGTGGGAGGCAGTAGAGAAGAAAGGAAACAGAAAAGGAGAGTGTAAAGAGGAAGACAGGGAAGGAGGGAGATGGGGAGGGAAGACAAAAGTGAAGGAGGGGGGACAAGCAGGGGAGGAAAGGGGAATGGAAGTCCTTTATGGTCTTGATTAGACTTTCTCAGTGTTCTAGTCCACACAACGCCTACTGACTATCTGATTGCCTCCCCGTGACCCCTGCTCTCTCTCCACACAGTTCCAGAGACTCCATTTCTTCTGAAGAAGAACTGGTCTATGGTGGTTGTCATTTTACAGAAAAAAATGGAGACTCGGGACCATTCTGGAATTGGCAAAGGCTCAAGGATAGGAATGCCCACGGTAGAAGATCTCACTTGGTTTGCATTTGCTGTCTTGAGCTGGGGCCTTTTATTCTATACTAACTCCTCTCTCTCCCCATCTGTTTCACAAGGGCCCAGAAAGCTGCCCAGGCCCAGGTAAGATTCAGAAGCTCAAACACACCCTGAGCTGTGTGTCAGTGTTTTTAACTCGTGGCTGCCAACTTGGCGAACAAGCAAGCAGAAGAACCAAGCTAGTCACTAAAATGGAGTCTCATTTGGTTTCTAAGAATGTCTTGACTATTTCAAGAAAAACACAGAGCTAGAGACTCATGCCAAAGCCACCCCGAAGCGGGGGTTCCCCGGTTCTGTTCCTGTTCTTGCTCATTTTTCTGCCTTGGCTCTTTTTCCAGCTTTGAATGGGAAGATTGAAGATCTGTGGTTGTGGGTAGTGCAGAGTGGCAGCTGCCTCTCGCCCTGGTCCCCTGCCCAGGATGAGCACTAAAGAAGAATGAGCACCTTAGTTGGGGGTCTCTATCAGTGTCTTAATTTTCTGTCCACTGTGAAGGCAGACATATGAAAATCTTTCCCTTCCTAGTTATAGTAGAAGGAAGTAATATACCAACCAGCATCTTTTTGCTGTTTCTTATACTGTGTCCGTTTGTTCTTATTATGTATCTGATGTGTGTATGCACTGGGGCACGGGGATGCACACATGCTGCCGCATGCTTGTGGAGGTCAGAGGACATCTTCAGGTGCTGGTTCTTGCAAGCTTCTACTCTGAGGCTAAGTTTCTTGTTGTTACTGCCACTCTGCATAGGCCAGGCTTGCAGGCCCATGATGAGGGCGATTCATCTGTTTCCATCTGTATCCTGCTGCAGGAATCCTGGGATTACAGATGTGCATCACCATGTTTGACTTTTTACATGGTTTCTCATTCTGATGAACCTTAGTGGTTCTCCAAGCCCCATGCTCCACTTCGTAAGTGAGGAAATGGAAATCAACATGGTGACTTCATGCATTTTGTGTGGCTGGAGCAAGACACCTGCATCTGGGTGCTTTACATGATGAAGAGGTTTATATGGATAGTTATATGGAAAACTACTTTGGAGCTAGAATTCTGAGATGGCATGGTCCTATCCAGTTGGCCTCTGGTAAGACACCGTAGTATAGTACCATGGCATAGCATCACCACAGAAGGGTGTGAGAAGCTCACATGGTGAGCAGGGATGCAGAGCAATGAGCTGGGGAAGCTGATCTCACTGTGTAATAACTCACATTAGCCAATCCAGAGCCACAATAGGGGAACTCACTCTTGCTACAAAACCTTTAATTCTTAGCATCTAACACTTCTTAGAACCAAGCATCCCAATACTGTTTTTTTTTTTTTGTTTTTTTTTTTTTTGGTTTTCAAGACAGGGTTTCTCTGTGTAGTTTTGGTGCCTGTCCTCGATCTCTATCTGTAGACCAGGCTGGCCTTGAACTCACAGAGATCCACCTGGCTTTGCCTCTCGAGTGCTGGGATTAAAAGCGTGTACTACCACTGCCCGGCCCCAATACTGTTCTGTTGGGGTCAAGCTACCAACACATAACCCTTTGGTGATAAACCATATCAAAGGGTGATACTGACTGTACCCATCACCCATGGTGATATAGCAACAGACTCAGATCTTGGGCCCCTTTTCTATAGCCTTATTATCTCCTTCTGTACAGGTAGGTGCTAACCCAGTGTGTCAAAACAACCAGCTAGAGGCATGGGGGGCATTGTTGAGGTTAAATAAGAACCAAATGCAAGATAATGACACCCACACACATACATTTAATGCATGTATACACACACACACACACACACACACACATATTAGAATATTTGTGGGTGAAACTGTAACAATGAAATTCATTAGTTTCTATGCTAACTGAACATTTATAAGAAAAATGCCCCTGTAACTTAGTCAAATGAGGTTCCCAAGTAAGTAAGGAGGAAGGAGGGAGGGAGGGAGAGATGAAAGAAGAGTGAGAAAAGACAGAAAAAGAATGATAGAGAGAAGGGGAAGAAGGAGAGGATGTGAGGCCAGGCAGAAGTAAAGATGTCCTCTGGAGAGAACAGAGTCCTGGTATGTAAACCAAGCTTCTACTGGAACTGCTGTCTAGTATTGGTTCTCAGCACACCTGGGGAGAACCAGGTTGATATTGTTCCTTAAATGACAGTGATGCTTTCAGTTTCCAAACCTTTCCCTGTGCCAGCCCCTCCCCCCTGAAGTCCCTTCCCAGCTCACACACCTGCTCCTCTGGGGAGGCTTTCTGACCTCACTCACTCCCAGCTCTGAGCAGGACACTCAGTCACAGCCTCCCCAAGCTCACACTTCTCCTATTGACAAGTTCATGGTAAGTTCAGGTCTGTCCTCCACTTGGCTTGGAGCATCTTAAGTCAAGTGCAGGCATCCTCATTTCTGTGTCCCTGGTACCTGGCACAGGCCTGGTCATAGGACAGGCCTGGTGAAGACAGTCATATGTACATGCATAATCACCTGAGAAAGGAACATCATCTAAACAAAGACCTCTTGTTCTGAACACCAAGTAGTCAAAATTAGGATTAAATTAATGCCATAGATAATTGCAGCTGAGGCTCCAGACTGCAGGCGTGTGCACCTCTCCCCTTCTAATTATCCATGTCAAATTTACGAATAATTATTCCATGCTAACCCACTGCAAAGAAGCAGGTTCTTCAGCAGCAAAGGCATCAAACAGGTCAAAATAAAGCAATGTTTCTCTTGCTGATGAATAATCACCTGTTTGATCAGTAAATGCTCATTTTCTAAGGAGGTATCAGATTGGTTAATTAAAGCCTCCTGGACTCTAACAGGACACCGCTAGGCGACTGTCATTGCTGGCGTTCCCTGGCGTCTCTGGAATTGACCAGTCCCTGGCATAGTGCCGACATCTTTACCAAGCACTATTCCTAAAAGCAACACTGTAGAAACCCAGACTGGGCTTGCCAAATGATTCATAGATGGGTCTGAAGTGATTTCTTAATCACTACGGGAACAGGGTGTGCTTTATACGGTGTCTACTATCTACAGTTGTCCCTGTGAGGAAGCTGAGGTACAGAAAGGGGAGGTGTCCCTGGATGGTCCCACCAAGACCGTGGTATCCTTCAGTCAAGGGTGTTGCCATGCTTTCTTCCCCCAAAGGGGGCTGGTATTTATGGGGCTTATCACATGTCTATTGTATCCCAATTCAGTTAAATCTCACAGAACTCTGTTTGTGCAGGGATTAAGAAAATGGTCTTGTAGTTAAATTACTTTGGTTTAAATAAAACTAAAATCAAAGACAAACCTCCCAAGTGGAAAAAATGCTTTTGTTCCATCTCCCTCCTTCCTACTTAGATTTGTGATATGAGGATGTGTTGCCTGGTGTGGCAGCAGCCATTGTGTGGGCATGATGTAATAAGTCAATAACAGTCTGGACAGAAAGATTAAATATGTCCTTATCACAACTCACAGAACTGACCCTGAGCCATCTGCTTCATATGTCGTGTTAGGGGATGCACTTAAAGCAATTATTGGCCAATAATACTGTCAGCTTCAACTCAAAATGTCCCTTTTGATGTAAGAACTCTCAGCACATCTTGAGAGAGAGTCAGAGCATTGTTGTATCAGAGTTTTGAAGATACAATGTGATTCAGAAAGCTGAGGTGAGTCCAATTTTACAGTCAACAAAATTTGAGTTCAAGAGTGCCTTCCCACGACCTGTATTATATAACTCATGTGAATGCCCTAGGATTAACTCCCTTGGGGTTCTTCCTAGTTACCTTCACCAAAATTCATTCTCTTTTTGTGACTCTGAATCAACATGTATCAAGCCAGATACTTCTAAGCTGTCTATGCTTGGGGGATGGACACAGATAGGGAATCCATTGTTTCAGTCTGTCTTAGTTATTTTTCGATTGTTGTAACAAAACATCATGACCAAGGCAACTTATAAAAGACAGCATTTAATTTGGGTTCACAGTTCCAGAGGGTTAGAGCCCATGACCATCATGGTGGAGAATATGGCAGCAGGCAGGCACGGCACTGGAGCAGTAGCTAAGAGCTTACATCTTATCTACAAGCACAAAGTTGGGTGGGGGAGTGCACTGATAAATGGAAATGCCATGGGCTTTTGAAACCTCAAAACCTACCCTCAGTGACAGCACCTCTTCCAACAAACAGCTGGATCCTTCTAATCCTTCCCAAACAGTTCCACAACTGGGGACCGGGCAATCAAACACATGCTAGGGTGGGCTAAAGACTACTAATTTTCTCTTCTTTTCTTTCTTTTTAAAATTGGAAATAGATTTTTTTCCTTCATTATTTCCTGATTACAGTGATTTAGTTTGGGCCTTAGGATAAATTGAAGGATGGGCTGTAGCTTCTGAGGAAGCAAAAGAGTAGGGGAGAAACAGCATCAGCCTAGATGGGCAGCAGGCCAGGCTTGTACCATTGTCTTGGACAAACATTTCTCAAATAATCAATGTGTAGGAACTGCCTCTGCATCACCATGATCAAACTCCAGCCAGAAAGAACATAGAGAAGCAAAGGTTTGTTTCTGCTCATGATTTCAAAGGTGCCAGTCAGTCATGGTAAAGAAAGCATGATGCAGGAGAATAGCTCACATGGTGATGGCCAGCAAGCAGAGAGAAGGGCCAAGAGGAGATGAGACACAGTCTCCAAGGGAATACTCCATTGACCTATTTTCTCCAAGTTGTCCTTCATCTCCTACTTTTTCCCACCTTCTTGTAATGACGTCATGCTGTTGGGGAATTCATGTACCCTTTGGGAAGATCAAAGTCTTCATGATCTAATCATGTCCAGAAGAACCATCCACAGACACGCAAGAAGTGTGCTGCATTGTTCTCTTAGGAATTTAAAATCTGATCAAATTGTTAATCAAGATTCACCACTTAAGAAATGACTCAACATTAAGAGCATTCTGATTTTGGCTCCTGGCACCTATGTGGCAATCCACAACCATCTGTAACTCCAGTTCTAGAGGATCTGACAGCCTCTTCTGGCCTTCATGGGCACCAGGCATGCATGTGGTGTACATACATGCATGGCAGACAAAGCACTCATACACACAACATAAAATAAATAAATCTAAGAAGATATTAACCAACCTTTCCCTAACCCTCAGGCAGCTGTGCATATTATGCCAAAGAGATTTCCTTCTCACTTCCCCAGCTGCTAGTTTCTGTAAAGAAACAAACAACTGTTTCCAAGCCACACACAAAAAGAACCTCCCAGAAGCATGGCAGTAGAGCTCCTGCCTAGCACATGTGAGGCCGTGGGCTCAATCTTATCACAGAGGGAGAACAAAGCCCTCCATGCAGGGAGAAACTTTTTATGTTCCTTAATGCACACACCTGGATAAGAAATACTTGACAACTTTGCACACATACACATTCGTGTGTCTAGTGGTTCTAAGTGTAGCGTGGGTAGGGGTTTGGGAAGGCTTTGTGAGTAAGAAAGATACACTTTATTTGCTTCCCATCCTGAACCTCCCCAGCCTTTTGGCTGTGGGGAAGCGTACTATTTTTACTGACATGTGTAATAGAATAAAATATTCGGCCATGTGTGACAGAAGCAACAGGAAATTGTCTCGCTGAACTTTGAGACAACGGGTGTTAGGGAGTTTAAGTTTGCCAGGTTCTGAGAACTTTTACCTGGGAAAACAAATGTAAAATTCTCCGACCTCCTTCTGCCAGCCCGTCCTCCTCATGGCTCCACAGCCTCCCCAAACAGTGCTACCAGAGGGGAATGAGTGTTCAAACCCCCCTGTGACAAAGCACTTCACATTCACACCCTGTCACTCAACTTGAGAAAGCAAAACCTGGAACTAAGGTCAGGTCCACTCGACGCCAGCATCCATGCTGTCACTTGCTCACCCTCTTTGACGCCCCCCACCTGCCACATTTCAAATGAGGAGGTTGACACTGAAAGCAGCTGTGGCAGAGGAGAGCCACATCCCAGTTGGGACATTTGACAACAGTGTCTGAGGTGCTGGTTGGGTTTCTGAGGTCTGCTGGGTCCTCTGTGCTATCAGCAAGGACAAGCCAGGGCAAGCCATTTGTGGATTAGTGGAGGTAAAGCTGTAGCTTTGGGGGAACTAGATTTAAACATGTTGGTGGACTGGGGAAGTATTGGAAAGTTCTCCTGGCCTAGTCTCTATGGCGGTACTTTCTGAACCCTCTGTGGTGAGATTGTGGATCACACCCATCCCAAAGACTCAGGTGGTGAAAGCTTGGCCCTGATATAACAATATAATAGTGTTGAGAAGGTGGAGGGCATTAAAAATTGTAGACTAGCAAAAGGTGGTCATGGGAGTTTCACCCTCAGAATTAAAGCTCTCTTCTAAGGAGTTATTTGGTGGGATATTTGCGAGCTGATTCTGATAAAGCAAGATTACCCTTTTGGCTCCTTCTGTGTGCCTGCTGTCTCTCCTACTCTTCCACGATGCCACCACGCAGCAGGGAGGCCTCAGCAGAAGCCAGTCAGGTGTAGGTGCCATACTCTAGGACTTTCAGACCAGGAGCCAACATAAATCTCTTTTCTTCATAACTTACTCAGCTTCCTGTATTTTGTTACAATAAACTAAATGGACTGAGGCGAATGAGACCTTCATAGTCTTACATAGATACGTTGTTCTTTATGTCTATTGGAAGAGATAGGTATAATTAACTGTCCTTATTATTAAAGACAAGAAATCCCAGGCTTGAGAGATTAGGTGAATTCCCATTGACAGACAGATGGAAAAAGTGGAAGATTTGAGATTAATTCCACAACCAAACCCATTCCACATATCTCACTTTTATCAATCTGTGCTTAGGACACAGAGAACATCTGGTCACTTTATTTTAATTAAAGAAAAGATTTTATTTTATTCATATGAATATTTTGCCTGCATATATATATATATATATATATATATATATATATATATATATATATATATATAGTTTGTGAGCTACCATATGGGTGCTGAGAAACAGAGTCTTCTGCAAAAGCAGCAAGTGTTCTTAACCACTTAGCCATAGCTTCAGCCCCTTTATTTTATTTGAAAAAACAAAAACAAAAACAAAAAAATTATTATCTCACCGTACTTACAGATAGGTGTGGCATTCAGATATCCTGTCAGGCCTAATTCATGTTTGAAAGGCTGTGGCCCCTCGGCCCCCACTCTCATCCAAGGCTGTTTGTGTCTTCTCTCATTGACGCCTTCAGCACTGGGATGTCAGGGACCTCAGCCATCTGTGCCCAGGCCTGAGCAATCAGCCTGCAAACCCTCCCATTGATCACAGCCTTGTCCTCAGCTCCTCAGCCTGGCTGTCAACAACATGACCCCTCAGTTATACATGTCTTTTAATTGTGCTAAAAGTGTTCCATCTCTTTTGTGCTCTCCGAGGTGACTGACATTGTTTCGAAGCAGATTTCGGAACAGTCTTGTCCTGCCCTTCTCGCGGCAGGTGGGTGGTAGTTGTTGCCGAGCAATTAGAGAATAGATTAACATAATGTGGTTCTTCAGCTACGAAGTCTCTTGAGAGGTCTGCCAACAGGTTCCTGAGCTCGCCCCACTCACTTTCCTTTGTCTCTCTGCTTTCTCCTCCTCCACACCCATCCACCCACCTGCCTGAAGTCTGCTGTTTCAAAAGTAGCGCTCAAGAAAGTTCGTGTAACCCAAGGCATTGAGATGTCTTTTTTCTTATACTGAAAAAACGGTGCACAGTACTTACATTCTACACCAAAAAGTAAAACATTTTTGACTTTGAAATATCTGGGGGAAAAATAATTCTGTTTGCCCTGTCTTACCTGTCACTTCTATGTCCTTTGGCTAAGGTCTCCTCCAGAGTGAACTCTGCAAATAGGTGCCAATTAACTGGAACAGATGGAGCTGCCAGCCCCACCATACCCATGGGGACTCTGTCCAGCAGTCCCAGTTCCCACTGTGCTGAGAATCACTTCTGCTGGTCCCCAAGGCCCCATGTTTTCACATCCAGACTCCTGTCTTTCTCTTCCCTGGCTGTCCCAGCCCTAACCCTGAGTTTGTTTGGACTCTGTCATTGAACCTTAATTCTGCCCTGCTCCTCTTAATAAAGCAGCCCCAGGCATCTTGTTGAAACAAGTTGGATCAGTCCCTCCCGCAGCAGGCTCTCAGAGCCTGTGCCTCGGGTAGAAAGCCACTAGGCTAACACAAAGAACCCTCCCTCGTCTCACACTCGTGGCTATGAGTTCTTCCCACAGAAAGAAGCCGTGCTGCATCTGCTGGACAGGTAGCTGGAGCAGCTCAGGGGAAGCCACAACCAGCCTTGTAAGCATCCTTTCCTGTGGAGCCTAATTTCCTCAGGAACAAGCCCTGGAGCTTTGCTTACCAGGGAAGCATAGCAGGCTGCACTCCAGCCTCCCCACTCTGCACACAGATTCCAGACTTCCTAGAGGAAATCAGGGGTTCACCACAGCCCCGTTGGTGCCCATGCTGTAGGGGGAGGAAGCCGTCCTTGGTGGCAATCCTCTCCAGATTCCTGTTCCACATAGTGCCTAGGGGCTGAGCTTGGAAAGAAGGGACATCAGTCGGACCTGCTGCAGGTCCACAGCTTTTGTCCTTCAGTTCCTTACCATACAGTGACTTGTTTCCATGGTAGCATCAATAGTGTATTTGTGATAAAGTTTTGAAATATATATTTTTTTTCTGTAAGTTGAGTACAAAGAATAAACTATATAATGGTGCATCTTTAATATTATTAAAAGCTTCAGCAGGCAATATTTTCATTCTTTCCTTCTATACTCTTCCAATGTTATTGAGGCATAATTTATGGAGAGAAACTCACCCCTTCCCTGTCTGTCTCTGAGCCCTCCCTTCCTACCCAGACACTCCCACTCCTTTCTACTTTGCCGCCACATGTGTTAATCTTCCCTGGCCTTCCTCAACACCTTTCCCCCTCTGCGGTCCCCTGTCTAGTTCTATGACTTCTACCCACACTAGCCCCACATATATTCATATATGTGAACATATGAGTATGTGACCCACATGAGCTGTGGATCCACACACAAGGCAGAACATGCGGTGTCTATCTTCCTGATTCTGAGACTAACAAGTTAGTTGCTTAAAATAACAATTTCAGATCCATCCACTTATTTCTTTCAAGCTGAATAAAATGCCATTGTGTGTATATGCCATATTTCCATTTTCTGTCCATCTGTTGACAGCCATCTAGGCTGGTTCTAGTCCCTTGCTGTAGCAAATATTGTCACAGTGAGCACGCATGTGCAAGTGTCCCTGCTGCATAATACAGAGTCCTGAGGGTGAAGCCAGGAGCATGATAGTTGGGTCCTCTGGTTAGGTCCAACTTTAAATTCTAGGGAAACCTTGATAATGATTCCCACAGTGGCTTGCAGGAAACACAGCTTAAACTAAGAAAGCACTGAAGAAACCAGGATTGTTAAACACATAGGCCTGGAGAAGGAAGAGTGACGCCTGGTCACTTGGAATGCTAGAAGGAAAGTGGTCAAATCTACCTTGTGGTCCTTTGCTGTTCTATGAGGAGCCGGCTTCCACCTGAATTTCCCCTACATCCTGAGAATTGTTTAGGCCCCAATCCTGGACCTTGTCTCTCAGTGAAAAGAACTCATCCTTATGAAAGAGGCCCCATGTACTTTGCATTCTCCATCAATAGAATCCATTCTTATGCTTAGCCCTGAGTTCTGTTTGTTAGCCAATAGAACTCACCCACACTGCAAAGGTTGCAGGTGCTTTGCTGCTTTGCAAGGGAATTTGGAGGTAGCCATCCCTGAAGCTTTGTTATGAGAGTTGTCTGTGGTGGTATTATGTTCCCCAAAATATTGTGCACTCTAATAAACTTATCTGGGGTCAGAGAACAGAACATAGAGGTTAGACAGTAGTAGCACACGTCTTTAATCCTAGCATTCCAGAGGCAGAGATCCCCCTGGATCTCTGTGAGTTCAAGGCCACACTAGAAACAGCCAAGCATGGTGACTCACACATTTAATCCCAGGAAGTAATGGCAGGAGGCAGAAAGGTATTTAAGGCATGAGGATGAGGAACTATAGCCTGGTTAAGCTTTTAGGCTTTTGAGCAGCACAGTTCATCTGAGAGGCATCCAGTCTGAGGAAACAGGATCAGCTGAGGAATTGGCGAGGTGAGGTGGCTGTGGCTTGTTTTGCTTCTCTGACCTTTCAGAATTCACCCCAATAGCTGGCCCTAAGTTTTTTTTTTTATTAATAAGATCTATTAAGGTTCATGCTACAGTTGTCACTTGGAGACTGTCCTCCCAAAGCTTGACTGTGTGTAAATGTGTATGAGAGCTAAACCCACAGAATCAGGCTCTCTAGAAGTTTTGCTCCAGCCTGACTGGTCAAGTCCAGACGTGTCGAGTTTCCATTCTCACCTCTTACAGTTCCTTTCCTTGCAGGCTGTGATTCCTGCAGGGATCCGCCAGCAATGGCTGCGGTACTTTATACTTTCCCTGGCAATGAACAACGAAGAGTTCTTTCCCCACACTCTTGCCAACATTTGCCATCCTATGCCTTCTTGAGGATAGCCACCCTGACTGAGGGGAGATGGAATCTCAGAACAGCTGTAATTTGGGCTTCCTTGGAGACTATGGATGTTGGAAACTTTAAACAGATCATTTATTGGCCATTTATGTTTCCTCCCTTGGAAACTGCTTGCATGCTTCATTGGCTCACTTACTGGCTGGCAGTTTTGCTCTATTGTTTTTTAATGTCTGCAGTTCTTTTGTATAGTCTAGAGACTGAGCCCCTGTCTGGTAGGTGCCAAACATTTTCTCCCTCTCTGTAGGTTGTCTGCTGTCTCTGCTGATCATATATTTTTGCTGAAGTTTTGAAATCACATTGTCAATTTAGGGTCCGGGTATTTCCTCTGCTGTTGGAGTCCTGTTCAGAAAGTTTTTGCATATACCCTCATCTTGAAGTGTTTTCCTGAAGTTTCCCTCGACAGCTTGTGTATATCTGTGTTTTAATTAAGGTATTTGATCTATTCTGAATAGATTTGTGCAGAATGAGAGATATGGATCTTATGTCATTCTTGCACACATTGGCTGGTCTCACAGCTACTGTTCCTGTTAAAGTATTCTGGTACTGTGAATAGAAGTTGAACCCCACAGAGGACCCCACATATTGGTCCCATCACTGATTCCCAGGGTGACATGGAGTGAAGTCATCTCTGAATGTCATGTGTCCTCTCTGTAAAGCAGGGGTAAAGCCTCCTTTCACCAAGGTTGCTATGAGATTTTAATAAGATGACATATAAAAGAGCTTTGTGCAGAATACAGTAGACATTCAATAAGTGAGTTGTTTCTATTGTCATTTCCTTTGGTGTTCGTGTGTCTGTGTAATATATGGTGCTTGATGGCCTATCTGCTGCCCTAGTTGAATAGATTCGAAGGCACAAAGGCAGATGTAGCACAGCCCCTTTCTGCTCTTCATTATTCTGACAGTATCTCAGCTCACAGTGGCTGCTTAATAACATTCTTTGAGTGAAAATACTCAGAGAAAAGGCTTTACAAGCATATGGATGACTAGGAGCAAGGGAAGTACAGAAATCGGGCCACCATCTACCCACTCATCTCTGACAGACACCTTGTCTAGGGCAAACATTCAGCAGCATTCGAGGAGCTTGGCCAAGCGGGAGATAAGGAACACAATAAGAAGCATGAGGCGGCATTCCCATTTTGTTTGCCAGTTATAGAAACCTACTCTAGCTATCTGAAACCAAGCAGAGGCATATTAGGTAGATGTGGAATATGGAGTGAGAAGATAAGGTTTTGGAACAAACAGTGGGGAGTCTTGACCAAGGCAGCTCTCAGTCATTGCAAGAGTGTTGCTGTTTACTTAGCTGCCATCCAAACACTTCCAAGCCCCATTCCCCACTTCCTAGAAGCAGCGTTCCTATTGCCAGAAACAGATTGTACTATTGGTCCAAATTAGGTCTTACTATTTTTTTGATAAATCTAAAGTTTCCTTTTGCTTGTCTCAAATTAGGGTTTGGGGACCATTTCTAGGGAAGAGTGGCATTTGCACAGAGGTGGCTTTTATAGTACTAAGCACTCTGGACTATATTGTAGCAACTGTCAGAACATCAAGGACTAAATAAGCCATTGCTTTGATACAGAATATTCTTAAGCTAGCTTGGGAGGAAGTAAGGCAAGCCTTCAAGGAGAGGTGTCAATCAAGTGTGGTGGCCTTGAAGACAGGCAGGAAACTCATGAGATAATCTGGACTAGAATTCTTGACCTTGAAGACAGAAGAACTCAGAGGTACTTGGGGGCTCAGAGCACCCCACTAAGCAGCACAGTTTCTCCTCTGGGGACTGCTGTATGCACAGTGGGAAACGTCTAAGTGGAATTAGTGTCAAAGGCATTAGAGCTAGTCAGCAAGGCCAAGCAAGTGCCAGGGTCCCTTTGCACTTGAAATGGAGCCTGTCCATGCTG